AGCTTCCATCGAACATAAAAACAAAAGTTTAAGTCATTGCATGTCATTTGTTTCTAAGAACTGAAGGAAGAAAATTTGGGGGATCAGGTTTTGGTTCATCCATAGGCTAGAATGTTGGACCATATTTTAAAAAATCATTATGTGGTAGAATAAGAGCACTGGTTTAAAGTCAACAACTGGATTTGAATTTTTGTTCCACTTCTGACTTTTGGGGCAAGTTTCTTAACTTCTCCAAAATCATTTTTCTTCATCAGCAGACTAGTAATATTAAAAAAGAAACTCCTGGGCCTCCCTGGTGGCGCAGCGGTTGAGCGCTGGGTTGCGAAGCTGCCCGCGGCCTCTGTGGCGCCGGTTCGATCCCCGGCTGCTCCCCGGCCACCGGAGGAGGGTCCCACATGGCGCGCAGACCTCTCCTGCCGCCCGCTGCTCCCCTCAGCAGTGTACTTCGGTCCTTCTGCCTGCTCTGCTCCCCGCTCTGGCTCTGGTGAATCCTCTCACCCTCCTGTGCTTCTGACTGTACCCAGTGCATGTATAAACAAAACAAACAAACAAATAAATAAATAAATAAAACATGCCTCTTTAAAAAAAAATAAAAAAGAAACTCCTCTACTTATAATCAAGTTTTAAGTGAATCCAATTGTTGGAAAGTCCAAAGTGACTCAACTTGTGATCACAAATGCATTTTCAGGAATAACAGCATTAAAGTTTGCCAAAGCTTTCAACTAAAGCTGGCGTACTTGTTCATATATGTCCTATGCCACATGGGCATTACTGAAAGAATAATACTTGGCACATAGAAAGCATTGAATATATGTTTTCTAAATGCATGAATTCTATCTTTCCCCTCAAATCATCCTCGCTTGTGTCTACTGGAAGTCTTTGGAGACAGATAACTGCCTTTGTCTGGAATTTCCCAGTAGCCTGAACTGTCCCTCAGCAGCCACAGTCTCTGTCTTCATCACTTCCCCATGATGTGTGTGATAAGCCAGAATGGAAGGGGCTGTTTTGAGATAAAAGTTTTAGGAGCAGGGCCTCATCTGCTTTCAGAAGCAGGGACTTATCCAATGCCTCACCCTCCCTGGAATGAATATGAGACTCCTGCCCACCCAGTGTTTAGCTGTGTATTCAAAAAGTGTTCCATTTTGTCCTTACACTTTCTTGTCGATATCGTCCATTGGCACAGACACAGCCTTTTGTATGTTGTGTGATTTGTTCTTGGTCCTTGGGAATCATTTCTACTCCTGAATAATATATTCTATATTCACATGAATCATTCCTTTTCTCACACTTTAAATTTAAAAAAAAATTCTGTTTCCATGGTAATTGCATATCTTGATAAGGACTTTTAACACTCTCACTGTTCTTGGACTTATTGGACCTGATATGGTTAATAATGCTTGGAAAAAGTATCTAAAATAAACACAAATACAGAAGAATTGACTGCTGATAAAAAGTGTAGTTTTAGAGTCAAAAGAAGGAGCACATTCCAACTTCATCAGCTGATCCTGTGTAGTGTGTTCTCATAGGAGAGTTTTGTTTTTAACTGTGAAAAACAAAACTGTGAAAGTCTCGATGCAGGATAGCGTCTGCTTCATGCAGAGTATCTACTTTCTGCATGTTTGTTTTTGGAGTAAAGTGAAAAGTGAAACTGTAAAATGTTATTCAGATCTTGGTTATTACTGCCACGAAGAATGCCACATCTCCCCACTTCCATGTTGGGACACCAGGGATAGATCTTTGTCACAGAGCAAAGATGGGAATTCTAAGTTAAAACCTTCTTCATTCTAAATATAGGATCATGGATGTAGTGCCTGTGTGAACACACACACACACACACACACACACACACACACACACACACCCCATCAGAAGGAAAGGTGGGGACTGTGGTTCAGAGTTCCCTTCTCTCTCAGCAGAAAGAGTAGAGACAAAATTCCTAGTTGCTTATAACTTGTGAATACTCTTATTCAATTTTGCAAGAAAACACTTGCTGTTACTTGTATAATACAAGGCATGCTTCCAGTCAGTCACTTGACAAATAAATGTTTTGGATGAAAAAAAGGAGATAAATTGAGATTAGGATTGGGGATTTTTATTGATATTACATCCTGGAGTGCCTGTATAATTTTTGTTATTAATTATGTTTAGTTAAAAGCTTTTCTAAATAATCAACAGATGACTTATTTACTAGGACTTCCTAAGTACACAGGAATGAGGAAGTACCCATGCCTGCACATGTTATGTAAAACAATCAAATAATGAATGATCACTTTTTATTGTATTTTAGCAACTATAAACAATTTACTCAGGAGGAGAGCTCATTGAGGGATCCTGTAGGAAACACGTTGGATTTTTCTAGCCAAACTGGTCTTGGTTCACAACTGCCTTCGACATATTGTCAGTGCTCATAAAGATATTTTTCCTCTCACACTTCACTTTCACTATCTAGAAGCCAAGTAGAGACATTTTCCTTGATGAGTGGGACTTGTAAGGACTAGCTCCAGAATACAGTAGGCTTTAGGCAAAACTGGAATGTAGGGAAAATTATTGCTGTAACCTGTATCTTTCTCCATGTCTGGAATCTAAGCCCTGTCCTCCTTCCCAAACACCCTGTAGCTCTGAAGACCCAAAATACCTCAGAGAAGCAGCTCTCTGCTCTTTAAACAGTGCCCTGAGCTTAATTTTCCTTTTCTCTGCCAACTAAAATTTAACCATTCTAATATTTATTTCTTCTGAGCCTCAGTTTGTGAAATTTATCTGTGCTAATAACCACAGTTTTTATAATCTAAAAATGCTCTTCTTCCAAGTAAGTAGTTGGCATTTTAACCAGGGTAAATAAATACATGCCTTAGTTCAAAAGAATGATACCATCAGATTTTTAAAATTCCACTTTATCCAGGAGGCATCTCCTGAATCCCTCCACCCTACAGGTCAAAAGTTCACAGCAAGGGCTTCCAGCAAAATGTACTTTCTCTGTCATAGTAGGAAGCAACAAGTATTGTGATCACTCATTTATTTGTTCCCCTTCCAGTTTGACTGTGAGTTCTGGGTATGTAAGCTCCTGGTATTTATTCATACACACATACCATTATATTATTTTCTACCACTTATCTCTGTGATTGAATACTTGAGGACTCACAAGAAATACTTGTGAGTTGAAGAATGAATGAACAATGCTGAGATTTCAGGAGCTATAAAAAAGTGATGGAGTGGGGGAGGGAAGCAGCACTTTGGAGGTTAGATGGCTTTCCTTAACGTCCCTACTTGGTTATTTTATAAGATTAAAAGGCCCTGTTGACAAACCTCTGAAGATGCCACTTGAAGCTAACAAATAAAGATTTCAATATCCCATTAAGTGCTTTAGAAACCCATTGGATGTAAATGGTTTAGGTGTCTAGCCTTGATCTGCTCTAGTTCCCTTTAACACAGAGAAATGATACAGAAAGTGTCATGGCATCCATGTTTTACTCAGTGAGGGAGAATCATTGTTTGGGTTGAAACCAGTATGGAAATTACTTCTTTCACCAACAGGAGCAAAGAAAGAAAGAAGAACCAAAAGTAACATGATTTTATCTTCATAGTTTGACAGAGATTATTCAAATGAGAGAGAGAGAGAGAGAGAGAAAGAGAGAGAGAGAGAGAGGAAAGGAAGGGATGAAGAAAGCAGGCTCCAGATGAAAAAAAAAATGAAGGGAAGCATTTCAATGATACTATAAGTACTTAATAGTATTTTGACTCAATTACTTGAGGGTATGAAGAGCCTCCTCAGCAACACACTGGTAGGCACACTCCTTAAAGTAAAATGAACTTGGAGAAAGTGAATAAGAAAACACTAAGTACAGGGGCCAGCTAGAAGAACACAGCCTCTCAAAGCATGCTGGGAAGACTCAACTGGATGAACACGAGGAGGAAGGGAAAGTTTATGAAGAGATTAACTACTCTGTTCATCTTTCCTGTGAGCGTCTTCTTCAGTTCTTAATGAGGAGCAATGGTAGGTGATATGTAACTGCACCGTATGTAACATGTCGTTTTTCAGGGCAACTGTGGCAAAGTCAACTGTCTATAGATGTAATATGACATTCACTCATTTTCAAAACTTTCTTTTTCTTTTTTCCTTCTCCTCTCTTCTTTCTCCTCTGTCTCCTTCTCCTTCTTCTTCTTCCTTTCTCTCTCTCTCTCTCTCTCGCTTTTAATTCTGCTATCAGTCCTATTCTATAATTACCTTATGCTTGATCTTTGGATGAGTAAAGAAATTTAGTTAAGCTTGACTAGTGACAAATAAGATGTAGTGCATGAGTTTAAAGCTAATTTGTCTGACTCCATATTCCTCCCTGCTGATCTTGGAAAAAAATAGGACAAAATTAATGTTACAATTTTTTAGACTAAGTTGTAATGTGCTCATTCGCAATGGAATTATTTCTACTCTGGAAAAGGAGTGTTCACAGAACAAACTACAACAAAAGACTCAGAAGTTATCTATTGATATTAACAATTTTTAAAACTCAACAGCTTCATCATCTCCCTTTGCCAGGGCCAGTGGAAGTGGTAGTCATGTTCTAGGTGTGAAATCCTTATCTGTAGTAGGTATTCCTGAATTAGTATCTGAGGCTGCAGGCCTTCAATGCGATCCTCCAGGAACCTGTGCTTGCTACAGCCTCCTACATGTACCTGCCAGGTGCCCATGGTACCAATTCAGACTTGATCACTCTTATTTCTCCATATTTGACTTACAGTGTGACCCAGTACAAGATCAGAATATTGATATATTTTAATTTGTTCATATGCTAAATCATACTGTTTATATTTGCAAGCCTGAGAATTGATGGGAAGAATAAATAGAGTTAGGATTCATATGTACGAACACCATGAAGTACTTTGAGCTTCGCTAAAAAGGGAAATATTCAAGACATTCCAACTAGAAATTGTTTAGGAGCAGCAAATGGAGAGAAGCAACATTTTTTGCTTTAAAAAGCACATCACAACTCCTTCATTATGTGCAGCACACAATTTAACAGGTGTGTGATTTATTCATTTATTCACAGACTCACGGACTAACCACTCCATCACAGTACTATTGTCTGTGAAGCAAAACACATTTACAACCAACTGTATCAGCTTCTTCAGAAAGACTGAATTAGCTGATCTCTAGAAATCCTTTGCTACCAGTTGAAAAACAGGGTTAATAATCACCAAAATGGTGAACATGAATAATTTACCTCAATAAAGCCCTTTCCATCCATGGATTTCTGGGTCGTCTATAACCATTGCTTGATATGAAAGGGAGGAAACTTTGCATACTGTTTCCGTTGAAGAAATAAGGAAAATAGGGGCCTCCCTGGTGGCGCAGGGGGTTTGAGCGCCGCACTGTGAGGCTGTCCGCAGCCTCTGCATCTGGTCTGTACCTCAGTTCTTGTATAAATAAATCTTTTAAAAAAAAAGAAATAAGGAAAATAATAATTTGTCCACATGCATCTAGAATGGTCAGAAGCTTCCTTGGGAAAGGGGCTATCACCCAGCTTTTCTCCCCTATTTAGTTCTTCTCTTGAGAGGAAGACAGTTTACCTGATTGGTGGATTAGGGAAAGCAAGACTCCTCCTTGACTGCATTTCTTTGCTGGGAAAGTTAAGTGTCACTGGTCTTTGTTCCTTTTCTCTTGGTCTCTCAGAGTCACTGGTTTGTCCAGCAAAGTTTCTTGTTGTTTCACCGCTTGTAGCTAACAAATAAGCAATTGTCCAGTGTGTCCTTGGTTGCTGACATGGGGCAGAGACGTAGTAGGTCCAGGCTGTTCTTTCCTGCGCAGTTTAACTAAGTGCGCTGTGTTCTCTGGCCCATTACATGAAGCTGATAGCATGCTTGGATGGTGCAGTGTTATCCAATCCAGCTTTACTGCTGGTAAAGCCGATACTGCGCTTTGATCCTCCATTTGCTCCTTTTGCTGAATTCTTGACTCCGTAGAATTGGAATGTGAGGATTGGATGAGATTTTTTGCCCTGCTCCTCAGCTCCCAAAGAAATCAAGGATTCCTGAAGAGGAGGGCGGGGAGAGAATAGTGTCAGGAATATCCATGCCTATGTGCATATAAGGAGAGATGGTACTTTGCCCTTTCTGTGTGCAGAAAGTTTTAATCCACTGCAATGTCCTCATTAGAAACATTAGAAAACCACATTAAAATTGGTTCCAGAAACTACAATACTGTAGGCACAGTGGGAAATGTCTCATCAATAAGTAAATAGACAATGTCAGTCTGAAGACCTTTCTGAACAACATTTTTACTCAGGGAAAAAAAAAATTAAAGGTAAATTTAATCTATTTAAATATTTCCCAAGATATCTGTTAAATTTCAGGTAATAATGTCTCTTCCTTTGAACAAGCATTGCATGTTTGTCTTTGACTGAGAACAGCCTGGACTAGAGACCATTTGATATTCAGCCTGTGACTATTTTAGAATTGGGGCTGGACCCAAAAATAAAAAAAAAAGCTAAATGAAATGATTTTCATTTGCTGAGACAAATTCACTTTTTGCTTTCTTCAGTAAATCATTGATCTAATGGGAGGAACAGAAGCTATCATAATAATGATAATAGACAGCTAGGAGCATCAGCCAATATCAATACCTTATCTCATAATGCAAATTCCATTGCTGTATATTTGGTCTCAGTTCAAATTTGCTTTTAATTAAGTTTTTTTTTTCTTTGCCATTCGTGCTCTGCCCCTCCCCCCATAGTTTTTTTCATAGCATGGACATCACATTTGACCAGACCCTATTGCCACTGGACAGCACTGATAATGACATTGATGACATCACTATTACCACCATCACAATCGTCTTATCATTGAACATTTGTAGAACATGTTGAATGTGACTGTCAACTGGATTTTGGACAAAGTAAATACTTTCTGTCAGATGTATTATAATCCAAGACATTACCACTCACTGAGAATGCCACAGAAAATGTATTTTTAAAGTGACATATTAATATAGTGTATAAGTAGCAAAGTTTCCAACTGTATTTTGACTATATTTATATAACACGGGACACTCTTAAATTCTTGAACTAGAAGGGCTACCAAAGTCTATTATTTCATTGTCTATATATAGAACATATAAAAATATTTCCAGAAGCAGCAGGCATCTGTCCATTTAAGAATGTTATGAAAGTTTATGTTTTTTTCCTGTCCAGTTCACCGACCTTTATGAGGACACTTGGGCATCACATGTATCAGCTGTCATTCCCAGCCCCCGACTCTCTGGCTTCAGACTGCTGCTAATCTATTTCCAGCTTGTTTCTAGACTCTGCTTTACTGACTCTTACCTTATACTTCCCTTTATTCCTTAGACCAGGCCTTTGACTTTGGGGGCCATTTCAGGACACTTGGCTCCTGTTCTAGCTGCTCTGAAAGGGATTTCCCACTCTAGCAGGCTCCAGATGTGTCTACTGACCTAGTTTCTCTGGTGGGTGGATTTGGGGAGCATAGATTCAGACCATCATTTGGTTGTTTCTTATAACTTCTTTAGTTACACATTAAGCATTGGATTTCCTCAAGTGTTGTCACTGGGTCCTACCCCTAACTCCATGTGCTCTCTGCAAGAAGTGGTAATATTTGTTGAGTAGTTAATAGAATAGTTACTAGATTCCGAGAATCACACTAAGTTTTAAATGCCCCCAATGGGGGGGTACAATTGTATGGGGAATATAACCAAAAAATGAAAATGCATACATTGTACAAAGATGAAAAATGATGTAAGAATTATATAAAATAAAATATTAAAAATAAAAAAAAATAAATAAATGCCCCCAATAGAGTTATAAGTTAGGAAACGTTACTTTCTCCGTTTTGTAGCTAAGAAAATTGGCTCAGAGTGTTTGGGTAATTTCTTCATGGTTCCACATTAGAAAGTTACAGATCGTGGCTGCAAATCAATCCTGGCTGTTTACCCCGAGACCCCTGCACTCAATCACTGCTGCATGCTGTCATTACTGTTTATATAGACTCTCTAGGTGGTCTCAGCCACACTTGAGTTCACTTGCCATGAAGTTTTGATGACTCCCAAATTTGAGTTGTCTCCTCAAGGTCTACATTTGAATGTCTCAAAACACTTCAAACTAAAGCTATCCAAAAGTTAACACAATTATTTCTCCCTCCAAACCCAGTTGGAATGTTCCCTCCATCAGTGAAGGACGCTAGTCTTCATTGAGTGGTACTAGTCACCTGGGCAGCTTCCTAGATTCATTCCTCTCCCCTTCTTCCATCCTGTAATGAATACATTAGTAAGTCCTGTCATGAATACATTAGTAAGTCCTGTCATTGACACTGCTGAAATAAGTTTCAACATAGTTCTCTTCATTCCATCTCCATAGTCACTGCCTTTGGCCAGGTCACTGTTAACTCTCACTGGAACTAGTGCCACAGAACCCTTCTGATCTCTGCACTGGTCTCTGCTGACCCTCTTCTTCAGCTCTTCTGCAGTGTGAAGGATCTTTTCAAAATGCAAATTGATGTTATCATCCCCTCTTTCAACTCCTTCATGATTCTTATTGTTCTCAAATAAACAATTATTTACTTCTTGTAAGTAAATTATAAGCTTCTAAATTATAAGTTTGGCTATAAAAAATAAAAAAAAATTACTAATTCACTTAGCATGGTTGGATTTCTGCTTGAATTCCATTCTCATGTGAATCCCCTTCTTGTTTTTTGTATTCAAGCAACGTGTCTTCTTTCATTTGGGCCTCTTCATCTCACTCTAGGGCCTTTGCACATGTTATTCACTCTGTTTGAAATACTCTTCCCTCTCCCCAAGTCTAGTTAACTTTTACTGATTCTTCAGTTCTTAGCTCTTATGTCTGTTCTTCAGAGATACCTTTCTGCCTGCCTTCCAAGATTAGGGCAAGTTCTGCTCTATTACATATTTATGTTGCATGAAGATGATGGAGAGGTGACCTGGAGAATGGCAAGGGAAAGGGCTGACCGAAATGCTGAGAAAACTCGCATGTATCAGGGCGGAAAACTGCCCAGGAGGGACGCCCCAAACTTGCTTTTGTCCTTGGAAGTCTCCTCGGTCATTAGCTAGCAAAAGATGCCCACTAGGGCAGACATGTCTGATAAGCTCAAGGCCTCACATATGTGGTGTGTATGAGCTCACGTGCATGGCGTGTGAGGCAAGGTTGTTTTGGCTTTCTCTGACTTAGGATAAAACGCAGATGTCTTTGTTCATAACTCCTATATAACCATGCTGAGAAAAATAGAGAATCACTGCTTGTAGCTGACAGCAGTCCCCCGTCTGGTGGGTCCTTCGCGACCAGCCTCCCAGGTCTCAGAGTCCACTAGAGGCTCACAATTTATTTTTTATTTATTTATTTATTTATTAAAGATTTATTTATTTATTTATAAAAGCACTGGGTACAGTCAGAAGCGCGGGAGGGTGAGAGATTTCACCAGAGCCAGAGCGGGGAGCAGAATAGGCAGAAGGACCGAAGTACACTGCTGAGGGGAGCAGCGGGCGGCAGGAGAGGTCTGGGCGCCATGCGGGACCCTGGCCCAGTGGCCGGGGATCGAACTGGCGCTGCAGAGGCTGCAGGCAGCTTCGCAACCCAGCGCTCAACTGCTGCGCCATCGGGTAGGCCCTAGGCTCACAATTTATAACACCACGAGCCTCATTGGCATAGCACTGACCTCAGTTTGCAATTAAATTTTTCTTTATGTGTTTATTTACTCAATGGCTCTCTTTACCAGTGGAATATAAACTCCATAAGGACAGGGACCAAGCCAATGTTTGCTGAACATTGTTATTCCCTACAGGCATTGAGGAATAGTTATTGAATGAATAAGACGAATAACTTTAAAACACAATAGAATTAATGTTAAATGTTACAGATTAAATGGTAAGAACTAAATCTCTGCTGAGTGATGGGACATATATTAAATTTTAAGGTAGTTAAGATTTTTAACCCCAAATTCCTCTTTCTGTTGTAAGCTTCTTAACACACTCTGAATATATAGCTGTATTGTCCTCTCAATTTTCTCAGTGGCATATGACAAAAGGGGGTGAGCTGATCTTTTTCACCATTGGGTCTTGAAACTTGACCCCACTTCAACGTGTGGCAGCCTGAACTACTGCCTGAATCAATTTCTGATCCTCAGCAGGAAGGGAATTTGTGAAGCTTCGACTTAAAATCCACTGTCTAGAAGAAAGAAGATGGAATGGAGAGGGAGCTGCATGAAAGGATGTTATGCTAGTAGGATTTACTATTTTAAGTGTGTTTTGGGAAAATGATTAAGTGCCAAGCCTTTAACTCTGAACATCTGAGATTGGTCCATAAATCTGCATTTTAATATGCAGCACAAGTTAAGTTTAATGCATGTGGTCCCCGTATTTTACTTTGAAAAGACACTGACTAGGAGAACTTTTTTATTCAGACCAATGTTAACACCTTTCCTCAAAAAATTCCCTATATTTTCTGCCCTACTGACATTCTTGGAATAAGACACACACATGCCATCACCTGGGCTGACTCTCTGGTTTCTCCCATTAAGGTATGTTAACGGGTATCATCCTGTTTTATACTGAGAAGCACAGAGGAGCCATTACCTGTTTTTCTTTGTGAATCCCAGAAACATCTGTTGCATAACACCTGGTATTCTCTGTAACAGGTGCTTGCTCAAGATAGCAAAGGGAAAAAGTCAGATGATGTTAGCCCAGATCACAATTTGCAGATTGTCACTCCTGCCAAATGGGTCAGTTGAGATGGAAACAACAAATTGAGGAGATGTGTATTAATAATTTAGGAAATTGTCAACATTTAAAAGAAAGAATATGGAGTGGAGTAGGAGAGGTGGTTTTCAACTGTTCAGCAATTTCATTCTTTTTTCCCTTCTGCAAGTGCTCATCCCTTCCTTACTCAACCTCAAAACATTAGCGACTAATTCTTTTTGCCTTTGTAGAAGAATTGAGAGTAAGAAAGTTATTCGAGTATAGGAAAGCCAGTGTATAACTGGTGAAGATCTCAGTTGGAAGACCCTCAAA